CAAAGAGGAGGAAAAGATGGAGTTCTCACAGGTCCCTCAGCTCCTGCCGCCTACAAAGGAGAGGAGATCACCTCATGTAGAGGGCAGTCGGGTCACGCTACACCAGGGAGCTCCACCATCCTCTGAGTTATAGGCCGCCCAGGAGCAGGTCAAATGACGAGTCCACCAAGGTAGCTCACCACCAGGGAGCTCAGCATAGCTCTCCTCCGGGCAGTTCGCCATCAGGGAGCTCGACATAGCTATCCCCAGCTCGGCATAGCTCAGGCAGCTCGGCATAGCTTTCCCCCAGGCAGTTCACCACCAGGGAGATCCATCATCCTCTCTTGGGAGCAGGTCAAATGATGAGGTACTTAGCCAAAAAATAAAAAATTGGTACGTGACCAGAAACGGTTACATCAATTGGCGCTGTCTGTGGGAACACACTACGAAAAGCTAAGTTCTCATCGTATAAAAGCTAAGTTCTCATCTTACAAAAGCTAAGTCCTCTTCTCCCGGAAAGYTAAGTCCTCACTTTTTAGAAATTGAAGCTCTCGCTCTATAGTTTACATTTTTTATGAACTYAAAGACTATGCAGGAAGCTAACAGACTAAGTAACTTTACTTTCAATTTGGATAGAGCCTCATCAGTCCTCTTCGCAAGGTCCCCCCCTACAAAGATGAGTTCTTCGTGGCTTCCGCGGGAGTTGGCGGCCAACAAACTACATAGGCGCCCTTACTGGTCGAGCCTTCCAAGGCTCCCGTGTGAGCTGGCAACCTAAAGTTAGTAGTGCTGCCCCCGAAGGTCGAGCTCCTAGTAGCTTCTGTTAGGAGTGGGTGACCGGCATTACGAAGCTGATGCAGCGAAATCATAGCTCTAAGGCACCCACCTGGTCAGCTTAGCACCTCACAGGTAGCTCGGAACCCGGTCAGCCCGACACCTCACTGGTAGTTCGGCACCTGGTCAGCTCGACACCTCACTGGTAGCTCGGCACCTGGTCAGCTCGGTACCTCACAGGCAGCTCAGCACCTGGTCAGTTCGGCACCTCATAGGTAGCTCGGCACCTGGTCAGCTCGGCACCTCACAAGCAAAGCCTATGGGTCACATTACTGCTTAAAGACCCAGTCGCCTCTTCGGCACGGGCAAAGTAAAAAAAGAGTAGACTACGAGTCGCTCCCAAAGCCTACGGGCCACGTTATTGCTGAAAAACCCAGTCGCCTCTACGGCATGGGCAACACAACCGCTTAAGACGCAGTTGCCTCTCCGGCATGGGCAAAGTCAAGAAGAGTGGACTATGAGTCGCTCCCAAAGCCTACGGGTCACATTATTTGCTTAAGACCCAATCACTTATTCAACATGGGCAAAATCAGCAAAAGTGGACTATAAGTTGCCCCCATAGCCTAAGGGCTACGGTACTGAACTGGCGGAGACCTCCTCACCTTATAGGCAGCTCGCCACTTACAGGCAGCTCCCAGAGCCTAAGAAATTAGATCAGCACTTACTAGCTCGTCGACTTACGGGCCAAAAGGAGAAATCTACTCCTTTCACTGAGTTACTCTCAACTAGGGAGTGGGGGGCAAATGATGAGGGCAGATTTGGCCCTCCAATGGAATTATGACACTTGGCACCTCACGCCAGCTCACCAAGGAGTTCACCAAGGAGCTCGCCACCAAGGAGCTAGGCAGCTCTCCAAGGAGCTCGCCAAGGAGCTCGGCAACTCACCAAGGAGCTTGGCAACTCACCAAGGAGCTAGGCAGCTCTCCAACGAGCTCGCGGCAGCTCACCAAGGAGCTCGGCAACTCTCCAAGGAGCTCGGCAACTCTCCAAGGAGCTCGCTAAGGAGCTCGACAACCCACCAAGGAGCCCGCCAAGGAGCTCGGCAGCCCACCAAGGAGCTAGGCAGCTCTCCAAGGAGCTCGCCAAGGAGCTCGACAGCTCACCAAGGAGCTTGCCAAGGAGCTAGGCAACTCTCCAAAGAGCTCGCCAAGGAGCTCAACAGCTCACCAAGGAGATAGGTAGCTCTCCAAGGAGCTCGCCAAGGAGCTCGGCAGCTCTCCAAGGAGCTCACCAAGGAGCTAGGCAGCTCTCCAAGGAGCTCGCCAAGGAGCTCGGCAGCCCACCAAGGAGCTTGGTAGCTCGCGAAGGAGCTCGCCACCAAGGCAACGCACTCAGCAGCTCATCAAGGTGGCTCACTACTAGGGGGCTCGTCACCAAGTAGCCACCAGGGAGCTTGTTGCCATAGGCAGCTCTTCACTTACAGGGTAGCTCGGTACAGAAGAGCAGTTCGGTATATCACAGGAAGATCTCCTGCCTGACAACCGTACCTGACAGATCTGGTGGCAGCGCCCACATCTCTTGTCAGGCGGCGTCGTGCCTACTGTCTCTGAAAAGCACGGCACGCCTGACGAGTCCGTACCCTGCAGCAGCAGCCTGCACCTCCCACCTCAGTCCTGGCAGTAATGGCTAGGGTAGTGGCGGTTACACCTGATGTGACTGGGCACCGCTATATAAGGACTCTGACCCCCAAAGCCAAGGGGGAGAGAATGAAAAAATGGAGGTAATCCCTGCTCTCTAGCTCTCTCATTCCTCTAATATCATCTTCAAGCCCTCTATAATCAGAGTGCTAACTTAGGCATCGGAGAGTCCCCGCGGGTAAATACCCCCAGGCCCCTTGGTTCAGTTTTCGTAGGTTCCTCAAGCTCCCGCCGCCTACAAAGAGGAGGAAAGATGGATTTCTCACAGGTTCCTCAAGCTCCCGCCGGCTACAAAGAGAATGAAAAAATGGAGTTCTCGCAGGTTCCTCAAGCTCCCGCCGCCTACAAAGAGGAGGAAAGATGGAGTTCTCACAGGTTCCTCAGCTCCCGCCGCCTACAAAGAGGAGGAAAAGATGGAGTTCTCGCAGGTCCCTCAGCTCCCGCCGCCTACAAAGGAGAGGAAATTACCTCATGCAGAGGGCAGTCGGGTCGCGTTACACCAGGGAGCTCCACCATCCACTGAGTTACATGCCACTTAGGAGCAGGTCAAATGACGAGTCCACCAAGGTAGCTCACCACCAAGGAGCTCAGAATAGCTCTCCCCTGGGCAGTTCGCCATTAGGGAGCTCGGCATAGCTCTCTCCAGCTCGGCATAGCTCGGGCAGCTCGGCATAGCTCTCCCCCAGGCAGTTCACACCAGGGAGCTCCACCATCCTCTTCTGGGAGCAGGTCAAATGATGGGGTACTTAGCTAAAAAATAAAAAATTGGTACGTGACCAGAAACGGTTACATCAACTCTCATTTAACCAAATTGATGCTTACATAGCATACCAATTACAATGATTCAATGATTTTATGATGACTAAAAGACAATATTTATTATTTATGCAAGCATATATGTTGTTTGAACTCTTTTAGTGTGTTTAACTCAATAGAATGGCCCAATCTGTATTAGAAACCTCACCAAACCATACTAAAATGGTTTGGATTGGTCTGAGAAATTCTAAGACTATATATTTACCGGTTTGGCCTGGAATCTTCTCTTACCTGCATTGAACACAACCATGAACACCCTTAAATGATCTCTTACCCAGACACTCATCCCATATCCCTACCCACAAGAAACCATCACTGTAGGAGTGTGGGTAGGAGATCCGAACTCAACACAGACAACGGGATGTTCAAAATAAATTGGTTCGTTGGAATGAACATTATTACACACAAGTTCGACTTCAGTGCTTACAAGTAGGGGTGCAAGTCGGGCGGGCAACCTAGGCCTGGCCCTAGAAGTTGGGCTTAAGGCCCAAGTTTGAGGTCAAGCCCGATTTTCCCAACCCGAGCCCAGTCGATATCGTAATTTGATGCACTCGGGTTGGTCAATGAGGCCACCCTAAAATTTTACATATGTAAAAGTATTTATGCAAATATATATACATATATTTGTGTATATATGTAAATATGTATACAAATGTTATATATACTAATATATATGTAATATATATGTAAATATGTATACAACATTTACATATATATACACATATGTATGTATAAATGTATATAATTGGGACAGGCTCGGGCCGGGTGTGGATTACCTAAAAGTAAGGCCCAAGTCTAGCTTGAAAAATAAGAAAGTCCAACTTCTTAGGCCCGAGCTCAGCCCAAGAATGGAAAATCCAAGCCTAGCCTATGTAAAATTCCAGGTTGATTCGGTTCAGGCTCGGGCTGAGCCCCGCACAAGTTGCACCCAAGGTTCAAAATATCGATATGCCTGATACGTCGGTAGGGGCGTATCGAATGAATCGATACATTTTTTTTTTGACTTTTATTTTTTTCGAAACCAGTTAGGGGGGCCGGTTTAAGTCTCCTCCACCCCTTGAATTGGTCAAACCCCCGATACACCAATTATAGGGGCATATCGGAGGGGTCCCAAAATGATACATATTGAACGATACGTATCGTTACATACGTTACTTTGAACCTTGATTGCACCCCTACCTACAAGACTGTTCACACCGTTTGCATAATCAGCCTTGCATTGGAAATATCTTCATACAAGTAAGTACAAGGAAGGCTATTGGCATATTTACCCGGACGGGGACGGGGTAGATGAGTGATTAATAAGAAGGCAGTTGATTTGCATTACTTAGATTCCAATCTAAGGGCAGTAAAATGCAGTGTTGTGGGACCCCTCCAAAGTCCTTTCTGTCCTTGAGTTAGTGTATGGCGAAAGGCTGACCATTAGATGTCCAAGGCTAACAGAAAGCCATATATAAGTAAAAGGGAGGGTTGGTTTAGTCAGTAATCATAAATTAATAGGGTATTTTAGTAATAGAAAACCTATGCGTTTTGACCGTTGGTTTCTTGTTGAAGGGGGTTTCTCTCTCCCGCCAAATCTAAATCAAATCCAGTTTAGGAAAGATCTCTGATTCTCTGTTACCTATTTCAACTGGGTTTGTCTCTGTTCCTGGAAAATAGAAGCTAACTTGAAGAGGGAAGCAAAGGCCGGAGATAAAAGACTCTACAGGAGAAAACATTATTAAAATGGCGAACATGGAGGTTACGACATGGATGCGGGGAGAGACCATCGGCAGAGGAAGCTTTGGCATCGTTTACCTGGCTACAACCGGGAGAACCAACAACCCTTTACCGCCTTTAATGGCTGTGAAGTCTACTGAGTTTTCTGTATCAAAGTCACTTAAGAAGGAGAAGAAAATTCTTACTGAGCTTCAGAGTTGCCCAAACATTCTTCGCTGCTACGGCGATGATATCACCCTGGAAGGTGGTATACTGACCTATAATATGATGATGGAGTACGCTTCTGGAGGCAGCTTGGCCGATCGCATAAGGGCTTACCCTGGAGGATTTCCGGAGTCGGAAGTTAGACGTTACACCCAATCGATCCTTCGAGGGCTTAGTCACATTCACAAGCATGGTTACGTTCATTGTGATATAAAGCCTCAGAACATTCTACTGGTGCCCTGTTCATCATCTTCGAATTCTTTTGAGGATGGATTCAAGGGGAGAATATGGATGGGGAAGGAAACAGTGAAGATCGCTGATTTTGGACTTGCAAAGAAGGTTGGACAGCAAAGGAGGAATAAGGTCTGCCGGAGAGTGAGAGGTACCCCTCTGTACATGTCACCTGAATCAATTGTCAATGGTGAACAGGAGCCTCAGTCTGATATCTGGGCTCTTGGGTGCATAGTAATAGAGATGAGAACTGGAAGGCCCGCCTGGAAATTCACTTCTGATACTGAAGCGTGTGGACTCTTGTATAAGATTGGTTGCATGAAAGAGTTGCCGGAGATACCAAGTGGTTTTTCGACAGAGGGGCGAGATTTTGTAGAGAAGTGTTTGGTTAGGAATCCAAAACTCAGGTGGACGGCTGATAAGCTCTTAAAACATCCTTTTGTTACTGTTGCTGATGAGGTGGTTGATGCAAATGAAGAAGAACTAGATGAGGCTTTAACAGATGCAGCTGGAGTTGGGTTTGTTCCATCTCCAAAGTGTGCATTTTATTTTCCTCAGGCTAATTTTCCATCTTCAGATTCGCTTGCCAACCACATCCAGAAGTTGGTAACAGGGAAAGGCCCCAACTGGTCTTCATCAAAGAGTTGGATCACTGTAAGGCAAGCAGATCCTGTTTCTTCTCATTTAAATAAATGCACTGTTTGTGGGAAGAGGAAGAGGACTGTACATGATGCAGAGGATGTTATTGGGTTGTCTAGTATCAGATCAAATACTACTACTGATGAAGCACTAGGTTTTCATTGTTACTCGAGTGGCAGAAGATTTGCAATGGAATCTCAGTCAATTCAGTGGTCTACTTCGAAAATGAGTGCTATTACTGATGAACCACATGCTTTTCAGCGTTACTGGTCTTCTAGGAGATTTGCTGGTTCCTCTCTCTTGATGACATATATTTGGGATTCTAGCGAGGTTACTCTGAATGTATAGATTGACCAACTGTTGAAATCACTTATTTTTTCTTTCTTTTGGGTAGCTTAAAAAATGTAAGTAGTAGAGAGGTAGAAAGAGAAGAGGCCTGTTTTCCTTTTTTGTCTAGAATAGGTTTGACATTCTTTCTTGTATATTTGAAGAGTGATTATTTTGGAACATCAATTGTAAATTTTAGTCAAAAGTGTACAGAAGCAGAGAATTCTTTTTCTGGTGTTATATAAATTCTTGATTATCTATTAAATAGATTTTTTTGGTCCTTTTGCATATTCTTTTGGTTACTTTCTTCCTGCTCTTTATTTTTCCAATTTCTTTTTCATTTCAAATCATTGCACAAATATATGGTTTGCTCCAAAACTAGAATTGATTGCTTTAATGCCTAACTTTGAATCATCGAAAACATAAGCAAAAGTAGATGAAATCTACTAGGCAAGACTAATGAAATAATGTGTAGTTGGCATCTGTGTCATGGCTACTTAGGTTCTTAGTATTTTGAGTAGGAGATATCAGAGTATCTAGATACTTCTCATCTCCATACCAATGGAGTTTGCACTTTGCAGAGCTATTTGATCCATGGAATGGACACAACTCCTTTTTCATCTGCCAGTGTGTGTGTGGAGCATGTGTAGTAAACCAGAAGACTAAAATCCTGCAGCTATTCAAAGTGCATTTATTTGAGGATGGTTTAACGTCAGATAACCTGGATACGTGGGTTAGATCACTTCAATGCAGTCTATTTAGAATTGTTTTAGCCTTATGTAAATCTTTTTATCCTCTGTTATCATTATCTGATTTGATCTTCTCATTTTAAGTATGCGATCTTTCATCACATGTTCTTTTAAAAGATCCCTAGTGGGGATGTTCCTGCTCTATCGAAACAAAGACTAAGGGTATCTCCTACAACTTGATGGATACTATAGGCATAAGTTATAAGAAAGTTTGTGCAACAATAGATTTTTTTTTTTGTGGCAACTGGACGTGTAACCAATCATTACTTTTAACTCTTAGACATGCATGTAGAAACAAGATGGATGTATGCATGGTTTTCAATCATTCATTAGGAGCAAACTTTATGTCATGGTTTTCAAAACCGGACTGGAAAACCAGGAACCAGTTACCTGACAGGTTCTGTTTGACCCCAAAATCGTCATTTCGTCAAAAACTGTTGATTTGGTCAGAAAACCACTGACCCCGACAGTTGAACTGTTTGAACCGTCCAACAGTTTTGGCCATTTTTAATTTTTTTAAAATTTTTTATTTTTGTTGTCAAAACAGGCCATCCATTCAGTTCGAATGGTTGGACCATTCAACCCGGAAACCAGACCCTTGAACGGTTCGTTGTCCGGTTTGGTTTTAAAAACCTTGCTTTATGTCGATAATGATAGGAGGGTACACTATGAGTCTTTGTTTGCAGATTTCCTGGTATCTTTTCATTCAAATGTAACTACTAATGAAGCACCATATTTTCATTGTTACTGGAGTGGCAGGAGTTTTGCAATGGTATCTTAGTCAATTGAGTAACTTACCATTGACACAAATTCTGAAGTGCATGTTTTTCAGTGCTATTTGTGTCTCAAAAAATTTGCAACTGCATCTCAATTAATTCAATGGTCTGCTTTTAAAACAAGTTCTATTAATGATGAACCACTTGTTTTTCAATGTTACTGATGTTCTAAGAGATTTGCTGGTGCCTCTCTATCCCTTGGTGACATATATTTGGGATGATTCTAGCAAGGTCACTCCTAATGTATAGATTGCCCACCTACTGAACTCATTTATTTTTTCTTTCTTTTGGGTAGCTTAAAAATGTAAGTAGTAGAGAGGCAGTGAGCGAAGAGGCCTGTTTTCCTTTTTCTTTCGTCTAGAACAGGTCTGGCATTCTTCTTTTGTCTTTAAAGAGTGATTGTTTTGAAACATCAATAGTAAATTTCAGTTAAAATTATACATAAGAAGAGAATTCTTTTTCTGGGTTTATATAAATGCTTGATAATCTATTGTTTAGTCTTTTTTGGTGCATTTGCTTATTCTTTTGGTTAGATTTTTTCATCACTTTTTTTTGTTTTTTTCATTTCAAAATCAATTGACAAATCTATGATGGTTAGCTCCAAAAATAGAATTGATAGCTTTAATGCCTAACTTAGAATCATCAAAAATAGAACCAAAATTAGATGGGATCTCCTAGGCAAGACTAATGAAATACTAGGTAGTTGGCATCTGTTTCTTGGCTACCTGTAACTCTATAACCTTCAAATAACACCAATTTATAAGGTTCTTAGCATTTTGGGTAGGAGATAGCAGAGTATTACTTCAAATATCCATTTCAATGGAGTTTTCAGAGCTCTTATCCATTTGATGCATAGAATGGATAGAGCTCATTTTTCATCTACTAGTGTGCTTGTGTGGAGCATGTGTAGTGAATTGGAAGAGTAAAATCTTGCAGCTGTTCAATGTGGGTTACGTTATTTCTACTTAGTCTATTTAGGATGGTTCAGCCTTGTGCTAATCTTTTTATTCTATACAAGCTTTCACCACATATTCTTTTATAAGATCCCCAATGGGGACACTTCTTCCCTGTCAAAACAAAGTCAAGGGTATCCCCTGCAACTTAGTGGTTTCTATAGGCATAAGCGATAAGAAAGTTATGCACAACATTTAATAGAATTTTTATGGAAACTAGATTTGTAACTGATCATTACAGGTGTCTCTTGGACATAGAAATAAGATGGATGTGTTCCTTAAGAAAATAAGTTCAACCATAACTATTGGTTATCACATCAAAGTAAGTGGGTATACTTGGTTAGAGAATCAAGGTGGTGAACCATATGATTATGCTTCTATGCTAAAAGTGAGTAGAGTTTGACAGAACATTCTTAATTAGTCATTGTAGATCAAACCAATGCCTTCGTCTGTAGCTTACTTTTCTCCTTATAATGATTTAAATTTCAGAAAAGTGGTAATAGACTTGAAAATGATAACTACAAGAAGGTGATCCCATGAAATATCTGAATAGCCAATATTGCAGTAGTCGTATCAGTGAGAAAGTCCTTGCCTTTGATTTTAAAAAAGGAACTTTCTGTATTTTAGCTTTTGTATGCCATGACATCCCATTTTATTTGTCAATTTATTTTCTATTTGTTGCTTTAAAGTTGGTCTTCTTTGTTTCTGGAAGTTCACTTGATTTTCATTTTACTAGTTAATTTCTCAGTTACTGTCCATTTTATATGCATGCATTTGAATGGTTGGCAACAAGGACAAATTCATAGTAATGCTAATAGTGAGTTCTGTGGATTGTTGTATATTTTTAATGGTCATATAAAATTGAAACATTGAATTGTTCACATGTGATCTGATATTAGAAGTATCTGAACTGGTCAGTTATGTAAATTGGAGAACTCCTGTATAATCCTGACTAGAAAATTTAGCCACCTAATAGATCAAATTTTTCTAGAGGAATGCCAAACTTTTGAGCTGCTTCCACAAGTTCTGCAGGCCTATAAAGTGAAAATAATATAACCAAAATTATCATCATTGGATATGAAATTTGTCTTTTGCAAGGAAAAAAATTCTTTGACAGGGAGGAAGACAGATGGAGGAATTAAAGACCGATAGGGCCCTACAACTTCATACCAAGTTAGAAATGCCAGTGGCAAACTTATAAGCTTGTCTTCTTAACTCAAGAGACTTTTGTTCAATAACTATATTGATGTCTTATGTGACACCTTTTAATTAGGTAAGACCCTGTAGGAACCAGAAAGAATTATATGAAAACATATAATAAAAATCTGAAAAGAAAATCCTGTATTAGGTTTGCCAACCTCTTTAATTATGGACTCCCCATAACACTTTTTTCCTTTGTGTGGAATATGATTATTACAAACTTGCAATAAACAATGGAACCAGAAGTGAGATGATCACAGTTTCCACAGGCTGCATACAAGTTTATCAGTGAAAGGGAAAAAATAAGAGAAAATAAAAGATGTCTACATCTGTTTCCAGAACCATAGGAATGAGCTATACATTTTGATATTGTTGTCTAAACAGCTAATGAGCATAAGCCTGGCTATTTTAACAATTTTATCCATTCTCTAAAAGATCTACTATATACAGAAATGTAACAGCTAGAAGTGAGGCCTGGCTGACTTGCACCAAATGAAGGAAAATGAAAAACATTTCCTTTAAGGGCCATTGCCCATTGTTGGTCCAAGCTATCCAGCATCTTGGGAGGGATAGACTGGATACAAACCTAACTTTGGCTTAATTTTCAAAAAAGTGACCACACCCAGACTTGAACCTAAATTTTAATGAATGTCAGCCTAAGATTAGACTACTTGACCATGCAATGGCCTCTGAAGAATATCTTCTTTAATATTTATACAGAATGTTCTGGCAGTTACTTGCATATATACAGGCAACCCATCTCTTAATGGTAACTGGTCCAAATCAATCAGTCAGTGGAATGATTGAAGGTTAAGATAATTCACTAGCTAGCTCATCGTGCTAAAATGAAAAGAGCATCTGAGATAACTTCTCATCACATTCTTAAACTAATACTTATAGGTAGGTACACATGAAAGTAGAAACTTATGCAGTACATTGCATATTTCAGGAGAAACTAAAATAAACCTGTTTAGACTTTGGATAACAATCTATGTTGAATATTTCAGTACTAGCATTTATGTATTTAATTTTGATTATGGAGTCATTTATAATTTAATTTATGCAAAATGCCTAAAGTAGGTTTAATAAAAGAAAAAAAGAACTATTAAAATAAGAATAAACAGAGGAAAAGTGCATAAACAAAAAGTAATGAATAATTCAGCAATTTATTTCAGTGAATGAATAATTTTTTCAGTGAATGAATAATTTGCAAATAATGAAATGTGCACAATATTTACAGATGATTCTGAATAAACACAATCATGTGTTGGGGACTTCAGAAAGAGGAATTTGGCATTGCAGGGGGCTCTCTCCTCAATTTGAGTTGCATGCATGGTTCAAAACCTAATGTTTGTTCAATAATGCTACTTGTTCTGATTGTAGACCCTCCATCCGGTTAACTGAGATGCCACTGCAAAAACTCTTGGAGCAGCAGTAATTCTAAAACCCAGGTAGTTCGGCACAGATCCTCGTTTTCTCTCCACAAGGAGGGAAGTCAAACACCTGTCTTGGAGATTGAACAAACTCAAATTTCCCTGTTTCCACTTGGGCCCCTTTTGTTTCTTCTCCCCCTTCATCGTTTTCATCATCAACAGATACAAACGGATGTAATAGTAGCATATCTGCAGTCCATCGAAGAGTCTCATCTCTAATTAAACACAAGTTGAGGAAATCCTTACCTTCAATGGACAACTTCTCCGGTATCTCAGGCACAACGGGATTGTTACCAATCTTATTCAAGAATAAATCCACATCAGCTTCTGGAGGAAAATCCCAAGCAGGCTTACCAGTTATCATCATTATGACAGTGCAGCCAAGAGACCATATATCAGAGCAAGGCTCATACAAACAGCATTTAATCGATTCAGGTGCTGCATACAGAGGCGTGGTCCTCAACAGCATCCCATCCTCCCTGCAGAGCATATCTTCTCCAACCCTCTTAGAGAGCCCCAAATCGGCAATCTTGACAGAGCTCCTCCCCTTAGAAGACGAGCTGGGCACGAGCAGAAGGTTCTCAGGTTTGAGATCGCAATGAACAAAGCCACACTTGTGAATATGACTGAGGCCTCTGAGGATTGAGCGAGTGTAGCGCCTGACCTCCGATTCCGGCAACCCACCACCAGAACGCACTATCCGATCGTGTAAACTGCCTCCAGAAGCATACTCAAGCCACAGATTGTAGATGATGAAACCGTCCTCAACGGTGACATCGTCGCCATAGCAGTGAATAACTTGTGGGCAGTCTTGGAGTTGGGTAAGAATCTTTCTTTCCTCCTGAATCGATCCAGACATGGAGTAATCAGACGATTTCACAGCTATGACAGGCGGCAAGAGATGGTGGTTGGTTTCGGCCAATGAAACAACACTGTAGCTTCCACGGCCGATGGTTTTTCCTCTAATCCATGTCGCCTTCTCCATTTTCGAGATCATCTATCTCAGTAGTCAGAAGTGTAAGTGTAAGTCTCAGTTTCTTCCATTTTATAGAAGAAGAAGAAGAAGAAGAAGGAAGACATAGTTTCTAAAATCTGGGACTCGCGTAATCGTGTTTACGCGGAACAGAAAGCTTACGCAGTTAGAAACTCTTCAACAGGCTCGGCAGACGGCAGTTATGTTCAGTTATGCGGCGGGAAAATAAGCCTAATTAAGCCAAACCGGATGGTCGAACCATTCTTTTAGTGGGTGTTGTGAACTCTAATAATATTTGTATGTTTCTGCTTATTTAACGTAAAATAATGTAATTAAAATAGTAGTAAAAGATATTTTGGAATCATATTTTATTTTTTGCATTATTTATTTTGGGTGAGTCGAATGGTCAAAGGCAGATGGTTGAACCATTCGTCCTGTGGCCCAATGGCCAATATGGTTGGTTCTACATGCGGTTCATGGTTTTGGTGAATGGTCTACGTCTCTACGAGTAGTATCAGAATTGAAGCAGTAGTAGTAGTTAATTAGTTATACTAGGCGTGGGATTTCTGGGTAACACTCCTAGTCCAAGTTTGAAATTAAAAATTTAGGTCTCTCTCTCTCTTGGACTCTTACTGAGCTAATCCCACCACGTCACTGAAATTAAAATTTATATTAGCTTTATTAGTTGTACTTGGACTTGGATTTCTCGGACAGTATCTGTCCTGGTCCAAGAGTTTGAACAACCAACTACTATCGACTAAGAAGACATTCATTGGATTTCTCTCTCGTACAAAGTACAGACCTATTATTGTCCAAAACCAAAAGCTCAGGCTGCAAGTGGGGTGTTCAGCGATGGAGAAGAGTAAATGGGGTCCGAAAAGCTCTGCTTTGTTTTTAATAGCTTTATGGGTGTTCACGAACCTATTTTACGAGCCAAATTCAGCCCCCACAACACATCTCAGTCGTGTGTATTAGGAAGATCTCTCGATGATACAATACATCCCAATCATATATTAAGAACATCTCCTAATGATAGTACAAGAAATGATGAGAGATTATTGGGAATTCTCAATACATGACCGACTGGGATGTGCTGTGAGACTTTGTGGGATGCCCCCTTGTGGGAGGCTGATGTGAATTCTTATTCTCCAAATCGGTAATTGAAACTTATAATACATAAATATATTCATTTATAATATATGAATAATATAAAATATATATGAAAAAATATCTGGTAAATTTCTTAAATTACCCCTACTACCTTTCTAATTGACAAAACTATATCCTTACTGTTTAACTATGTCTTGCACTACCGCTATTGTTTCTAATAGTTGACATCACCGTTAAGTATTAACAGAAAAAATGAAAAGTCAAATTTACCCTCTACTATTCTTCAAATTTTCAAAGTAAAACCAAAATTTCAGGAAGAAAGGAAGCGTTTCGTCTCCATCTCCATCTCCGCCTTCGCCTCTGCCTCTGTCTCCATTTCCATTTCCATCTTATTTCCAGCACAATCTCCGTCTCCATTTTCTGTCTCCTGCCTCTTTCTTTGTTATCCATCTCATAGCAAAATCTCTTCTTGTTGATTTTTCATCGCTGTTATTTCAATTCTAAATTGATTTATCATCATTACAATGGTTTCCATTTTAGCCCAAATTTGTATGAATCCATACACAGACATTATAGTTCTTGTGACAGACATTGTCCCTCGTTTGTCTTTAGAAGAACATTAGAACAGAAAAGGCTAAGATAAACATAGACTTTTCGAGGAGTAATAGTGTTTATAGTAGAAAATGAAATTTCTAGAAAAGAAAGAGAATCTATATCTATCTATCTATCTATCTATCTATCTATCTATCTATCTATCTATATATATATGTATAATTGGCCTTTCCATGTCAGCATGTCTCTCCTTTGAGAGAAGCTATTTATCTATTTTCTCTATTTTTTATATTTTTCTTATTTTCTTTTGTTTTAAAAATATAAAATAATAATCATTGATTATCTTGATTAGATTAATAAAACTGCATACTATTAAAGAGAGAGAGACTTTTGAGTTTGCAAAATCTCTTATTTTAATGAATGTTATTATCATCACGGTATTTGCAAATGGAGAAGAAACCCAACGTTATCTGAACAGGAAAGTTCTAAACTCCCCGTCTATTGTGATATTCTTTTCCATGATCTATTCTGCTTAGTAGAATGATCTGATTAGTTTACCTTTGAAACATCTGAGAAACACGTGTCTGATTTGTTCCTTTCTTCATATTAGCAGAATCAAACCCGAATTGTTAAAATCTCTTTTGTCTAAATTAGCTATTTAACTTTATTTGATAAACTGTCATTCATTACTGATTCAACATTAGCATTTAATATTTCCTATGCAAATCACCTCAGTCTTACCTCATTCTATCATTTCTTGATAATTGTAGCAGCTGTACCTACCCAATACCAGCATTCATAATCAGTCTATAAGCCTTATTTGCATTCCGTTTAACTCTTGTACTGCTTGGTTGAAGTCTGTCTTGTGAATTCTGTTATACACATAATTGTTATCTCTTTGCTTTATTGACTAGTTTATTTAATCCTACTTGATTTCCTCCTCAAGCACTTTACTTATTATCATCACTGCTCATATTCTTCTTGTTGTTAATTTTTACTGCTGAACCATTGTCTTGCTGGAACTATTCTTTACAGCACTAAACCATTATATTTTACCCATAGCTTGCCACCTAGTTCCATTCTTGTTTGTGACATACATTTCTATTGTTTTGGTGTTCTGGGTATCTTCAGTCACTAATTTGCTCATTTTGCATTTAATCTAATTTCATTTTGGCACGCCCGCGCTCCCCACACACCTGATCCTATTTAACCTCCTTGCATGCCGGTCCAAACACGACTACAAAAACTCAGTAGTGTCAACAAAACCATGGCCTCAAACCAATTCCAACTCCTTGAAATCAACTTAGAAAACCCACACCCACCCCACATTCCCTATGCAACAAATAACCATAGCTGAAACAGAACCCAACTCACCCATACATCCTAGTCCTACATCTTACGAAGATACGATCGCCACACTAAATCAATGCCTAGCCGCACTAGCTGCTGAAAATAGAGAACTTCGCCAACAGGTCCAAAATCCATAGCTCGCACAAACTACATCCTCTCCCTCTACACACCCAATACATACACCCATCACACATTACACAATCACCATCTCCCCTACCCATTTTAACACCTTTGCCCACTCTAACACCCACTCAACCTACTACCCACCCACTCCAACCAGAGGCAACTCTTCCTATTCCCAACCCACCTCAAGAAAACATAGAGTTAATGGTTAACAAACTAATAGCTAAACAGTTAGATGACTATAAAACCTCTTTAGAAGCTTCTTCCCTACATGAGCATTGTTCCCTTCCTTTTCCTTCTCACATTAGTGCTGTCCCCTTTCCTCCAAATTTCGTTTTTCCACAATTCACCATATATGATGGGACAAGAAACCCCCATACCCACATAAAAGCTTTTCCTCATTAAATGTGTAAATATTCAGCACAACGATGCCTTACTTTTACAACTTTTCCCCCAAAGTTTAACAGGATTAGCACTTACTTGGTTCACAAACCTCCCTAGTCAGTCTATCACCATCTTTTTCCAACTATCATGCCTATTCATTAACCAATTCGCCTACAATCTTGAAGCTGAAGTCACCTTGGACAACCTAGCCAACATGAGACAAAAGAATGATGAGACGTTCGCCCAGTTTTACAACCRATGGAGAGCCTTAGCAAGCCAACTTCCAGGTAACCAACCAGAACATTTCCTTGTTTCAACCTTTATATGTGCCCTCGTTTCCCAATTTTGCTTTCAACTATCCATCCTTTGCCTCTCTACCTTTGAAAAAGTCTACAATATGGCATAGCTATCCAAAGAGCCTTTGAAGCAAACGGAACCTTCCTGTTTAGATCCTCTCCTGACRCATCTTCTCGCACTTACACCCAACCCCGCGCATCCATCCATAACACAGATCAACACTTCACACATGCACCAACCCAACATAAATATGAATGAAAACCATTAAAGGTACTTAACATTGATTATGCGGACCTCTTCCATAACCTCCTCCAACGCAATATGATCCAACACCCACGAATCAAATCGGGTGCACCAAAGCATAAAAAATATAGAGAAGATCAATAATGCCACTTCCATCGTACACCAGGACACCTTGTAGGTAACTGTAACGCATTTAAATATTTTGTCCAAAATTTAATTGAAAAGAATAAACTCTCATTCGACATCCCCCCACCTACTACTCACACTTCCACCACACCATAGAACCAACCCAATCCTGATCTAGGAATCTTTACAAACCCACTCCCTCTACACCCAACTGACGTAAACTTGGCTCAACCTACCTCTTCCTCCACAACTACACTTAACTCTCACCAAATGAACACTCTAGGGATCCATCATCTCGGTAACCACACCACCACATCAGCACCCTTTAACTACTTCCCTTCCCATATTCCTTATATTTATAGACCCCCGACCCCTTCCCATAATTCACAACCATCAACTACACACATCTCACTCCTCCAATTCCTTCAAAATTCCAACACCCATAGAACCAGTTTTAATGACATCTTAGCCCACACACACATCCGGCCTAATCTATCCCCTACTGATTTACATGCTTTGCTTGAACCCCTACTCACCCCTAGCTCCATTACATTTATCCCAACAAAAAACACAAAACACAATGAACCCATTTACATCTCAACTAAAATTCAAAACCAAACTATCACTAATGTCCTAGTAGATAACGGCTCAACACTTAACATTTGCACACTTGGCACATTTTACAAATTAAACATCGATACAACACACATAAGTGAATGCCCTATAACTATCACCGCCTATGACAACAACATTAGATACCCCGTTGGCACTATTTGGCTTCCATTACAAGTAGGTCCCTTAGTCCGTCACACCCTTTTCTATATTCT